ACTTGACATACGCGAATTTTAAAATTATAGCAAAGCAGATGAAATTATAGAATTCTCATGAATGAAAAAGCAGACATACAAATCTATTAGATTTTATAAAACATTCATTTTTACTGCTTGTTCAAGCTTATTCTTTGCATATACACATGTACATATACTTGTTTTTCAAGAATAATGTTCCGGTCCAGAGAGATACCAAAACAACTGAAATTCGGAGAAATGCACAAGCTGAAGATGAATAAACACAATAGCTCTCTTTCGAAAACCTAATGAACTGGGAATGAACTGTTAAAGCATCTGCAAAAGGAAGACCAAGAACAGAGCACTTGTAATTTTTAATTTAAAATAAAGTCAAGAAAGATCCATGATAAACAATGGGGTCAAATAAATGTTAGATCATCACATAATATAACTATCATCCTCTCTTCCCACAGCATTTTTAGGCTTAATGAGTGTAAAATATTTTAACATGTAAATAATTCTACATTTTTATAAAATGGTGATTATTTTAAGCATGTATAATGATTCAAGACTTAGATTTTCCCTAACATTACCTTGTTTTGAAAATAACTAGAAGAATACTATTCCCTATGACAGCTGCAAATGCAAGACTTTGAAACCAGATACTCAGATCCCTAAGCTCCATTTTGTCAGGCTCATTAGGTGTTTGCATGTAAACAGAAAAGAGAGAGCAGTCATTCCCAGATTCTTAATTTTGGGGTAGCTGTATAAAAACAGAATAATTTGAACAAAATATTTACATAATAATGGGCATTTCAAAAAAAATAGTAAGGAAATCTCATTAAAAATTGTTTTAAATATATGTTGAAATTAAGAATGAAACATTACGATGCTGATTAGATTGGTCAACAAACCCAGTGTACACTGTTTAACAATTCTGAGACATAATATGGGAGGAAACAATCCTTTCTCTTCACATCAACCAGTTTCAAAGATTAGATTGTAACCACCTAAATCCTAGTCTCTATTAATAAACTACTATTGATTGTAATCATTAAGTTATTTAAATTTTTAAAATACCCTCCATCTCAGAGATAATATATTTAAATGTAATGCTTAAATCATGTCAAATAAACTATTTTCAACTTTATAATAACTGAAAAATTACTAAGCCTTGTTCAAGTATTTTTAAATTATATTTTAAAATGTTTTAATTAATTAGAAATGGATAAATATTAATATAGTACTTAAAACTTCAGTGTTGCTTTTCAGACAGCAGCAGCAGTACAGTCATGGTTCCAAACTTTAAGAAGATCCATCCAAGTTGGATTATTTAAACTTGCAATAAATAGATGTATTTTCTTGGAAAAATATCTATTGTTACAGTAAAACTTGAGTTTCCTTTCTAACCAGATTGTATGATTACTCGTTTATATTGTTCTTTCCGCAGGAATTTACACACCCCCTGTTTGCATCCTGTTATTCACTTTGAGCTTCCCTTCGCTTCGCTATACTGTTTCCCTAATAGTGGGAGAGTGGGTCCAACTGCACACAAAAATCCTAATCATTGTTAGCCTGTTTCAAGTCTCTTCGTTTGCATCTACCATTTTTTCAGTTAATAAGGGTTACCCTTATAATTTCATTCTCTGTGTGCTCTGAAATGTTGCATTGCCTTTCCAGACCACTGGTAGTCTGGAGGAAATTTGGGCATTAAAAAAAAACCTGATAATTTTCATTTTCCATCTAACTGTATGTTTCTGTATCAAACAATCTAAGAAACTGCTTAGGCTGAATGTACACCACTAAAATCCAAGCAAAAATATTTACAGACTTCTTTAAATTTTATATGTTTGCATTTGTCATTCTGAAGGCAAAGAAAAAAAAATTAACTTGTTTAGGGCATAATCAAGGCTAGGCTAAATCACTGCCTCAGACTCCGTAACATGCTTGTTAAAATACTGATTCTTGGGTTTTACATAGAACTTACTTGTTATCAGCAGGGGCATGCCTTCGAATTTGCATTTTACAAAACTTTCTAGGTAATTCTTAAGCGCAATGCAGTTTGAAAAGAAACGTTAAAGATAACGTAGTTGATGAAGGAATCATGCAAATAGGTAATAAGATCCTACTGTCAAATACACTCAACCAGAATAAAAAATAGACAAACTCATTAATGAAGAACTGAGAAAAAGTTTTTAACAATTTCATGATGAACCCTGTGTTAAACTATGGCATTCTTTATAAGATAGACTCTGAGATCTCCTTTACTGGAGGCATTGACTAATAGGACACATAGCCAATCATGTATGTGTTTGTGTGTATATATACATGAACACACATACATAATATAGACATTAAATATAGAAATATATCTGTTTATGTGTGTTCATACACACATTTGTATGTATCTGCCTAGATACACACATACTACTTCTAAACAGAAGAAAAACCTACACATTTTTTTTCTTCTTAACATATATAATTTGATTCCCCATTATAAAGGAACAAGAAATGGAAAGGTAAAATGACTCAAGTCAATAAACCTTTATCAGAGTCAGGGAATAATGCCTCCTTGGCTTCTAGACTCCAGAGTCTCTAAGGGTGGCAACCACGTCTTATACATCATAGAACGCCACCACATGGTCAAGCACTAAGCACAGCATGTGAGTAAATGCTAGGGATTAGGACAGCATTCCGTGAAGCTGGGAGGAGGCCTGAAGTTACAATCTACAGCAGTGGCTCCTAAACTTCAACATGCATCTAGCCCTACCACCAAGGGTTCTACACCTTAGATTACATAGGTCTACGGTTGGACCCAATAATTAGCATTTCTAGCAAGTTCCCAAGTGATGCTGTTCCTGCCTGTCTGGGTACTACACTTTTAAGAACCACAGATCTAGGAAAAAATCCTTAGTGCTTTGCTATGCAATGGTTGCCAGAGAAAAATATAGGTATTATTTGGTCAGGAAAAACAACATAAGGAATCTAGAAACCTGAGTTCTAGTTCCAACTATATCAGCTAAATGACTACAGCTAATAAACACATACTTACAGACACATCACTGAATACTTCATAACTCTTCTCCCAAGATGAAGGGTTTGGTATAGAGGCAACTGAAAATTCAAACGCTTTTTATATAGGTCAGAGAAAATTTGTGTACTATGAAACTTTGAAATACATAATCTTTCCTGAAATCACTATCCTCAAATCTGTATATTGCCCAGACCACAACTGTTAAACTAAATAGCTTTTGTCCAAAAGAAAGAACACACAGACAGGCAGGCAAGCAAGCAAGCAAGCAAATAAACTAAAAAGATGCTCAGACTAAACACATCACATTATGTAAACATAAATCTAAAGGGAAATTAACTGTTGCAGTATTCTAAACACAAATTACCAATTCAAATATCAATAAACATGTTGTCTAGGCACTTCCTAGTGACCCAGAATAGCAGGATCAGCATAATCTCGAAGCTTGTTAGACAAGCAAAATCTAGGGACACACCTAAAGCTACTGAACAAGAATCTGCATCTTAAGATTCCTATGTGATTTGTAAGCACATTAATGTATGAGAAGCACTAACTGACATAGCCCACTGAGATTTTACCATTAACTTGCTATGGTTAGTAAAATTATACAACATTTTAAAAAGACCATTTCCTTAAAAAAATCTATATCTGCCTTCTAGACAGATAAAAGAGAAATCATAAATAAATTTTACATGAGAAAATACACTGAAACATCATTTGCAAACAAAAACTTCCATTGCAATTTAAAGCTAACAAATATCATCCAGCCACCTAGCTCAAAATCCTAACCTTTACTGCTGAGGAAACTGAGCTATAGGGATGCTACCTAGTTTGGTTAATGACAGTTTTCAGTGACACAACAGATAATGAATGAAATTCTATTGACTCTTTCAAATATTCTTTCTAGTGAAAAACATGTTTTAATTATATATCTTGCAGTCAGTCTACAATTAATGTAAAAGATTAGAAATAGGCCAGGTACAGTGGCTTACACCTGTAATCCCAGCACTTTGGGAGGCTGAGATGGGCAGATCACCTGAGGTCAGGAGTTTGAGAGCAGCCCAGCCAACAGAGCAAACCCCCGTCTCTAATACAAATACAAAAAATTAGCCGGGCGTGGTGGTGGGTGCCTGTAATCCCAGCTACTCGGGAGGCTGAGGCAGGAGAATCGCTTGAACCCGGGAGTTGGAGGTTGCAGTGAGCCAAGATCGTGCCATTGCACTCCAGCCTGGGCAACAAGAGTGAAAGTCCACCTCAGAAAAAAAAAAAAAAAGATTAGAAATATACATAACTTTGGAGGGATAAATAAAATGAGATATCTATGAAAACACAGAAAATCTAGCAAGATGGTGTTTTATCCTTTTTTTATTTCTATTTTTAAAAGACAGACTTTTAAATATTGAAGTAGAAGGGAAACTGGAATTGGACATAATCAATTTGAGCGTAACTTCTAAATACATGATTTTCAAAGAATGATACCATGCATCATTTCAGTGGTTGCATCTGTTGGGTGAATAGAACTGGAAAATTGATTTTAAGACTCATAAATCTGGCAGCCGGGCACGGCTCACGCCTGTAATTCCAGCACTTTGGGAGGCCAGAGCGGGCAGATCACGAAGTCAGGAAATCGAGACCATCCTGGCTAAAATGGTGAAACCCCATCTATACTAAAAATACAAAAAATTAGCTGGGCGTGGTGGTGGGCACCTGTAGTTCCAGCTACTTGGGAGGCTGAGGCAGGAGAATGTGTGTGAACCTGGGAGGCAGAGCTTGCAGCGAGCTGAGATCACACCACTGCACTCCAGCCTGGGCAACAGAGTGAGACTCTCTCTCAAAATAAATAAATAAATAAAGACTTCTAAATCTGGCTTTGCCACTGAAGTTTTACTATACAGCAATAAATTTTCCAAATATAGCTAATTTTTATAGTTATTAACACAGAAACAGCTATATTTAATACAAGTATTTTTTATAAGTTATCATAGATAAATTAAACCTTCTGTCTTACCATCAAAGAAGCTCTTGGCTCTCAGGTAACTGACACTGAGCCTAAGAACTGAAAGTTTGTCCAACTTATTAATTACATCTTGTGGGAAAGGCAGCAGGCTAGCCAAACGGTCCAACTCTGTATTAAGTCGGTCTCTATGCCGCTTGGAAGGATTTGACTTGATTCCTTCAGCCGGGATTGGCTTTACTCTGAAAAACAAACAAAATATCATAAAAAATCCTTTAAAAAATATAAAGCAAAAATTTGTATTGCATTATAACATTTCAAATATTTCTCTAACACAACAAACTTTTAAAGTCTACTTAAAGTTTACATAAGTCTTTCTAAAATCTTCCTTTCGCATCTTAAGAAAAACAAGGGAATGGGTTAAATTCTTCCTAATATTTCATTAAAAAGCTTATGAACTCATCATAGGAAAATGTTTGCTTATACTTCATGCATTTGTAGTATAGTGATTCCCAATTAACAGATCTACTGGGATTTGTTTCCCCCTCTCAAATGCATTAGCCATTGTTTGGTAAAAAAAAAAAAAAAAAAAAAAAAAGAGATATTTGTGATGAATTATATGAAAACCATACTCCTTTTGCTATCTTCCACAGGAAGCATCTCAGCATCATTGATGTTGTCAATAAACAGGAACAACCCTAAATAAAGTATGTATCTTCATATCACCAGCTTCCTGTATTTATTTACTTTCAACTCATTAGAGATAATGTCCCAAAGCCCCTCTGGCACCTGCAGATGGTCCTCTAGCCTAATGTGGTCCTCAAATATTAAAAGAAGAATAAATTTGACTTTTGCTATTTACATTTCTTGGTGGCAAATATTAGAGGTTAATGGTGATTACTGGCAATTTTTGCTTTTACATGTAGACAATAATTCTACTTAATTATTAGCTTTCATAGCTTGTGTCTCAATTAGAAAATTCAATGAAACCCTAAACAATTTAGCATGATATTCACCTGAGAAGAAAGACACTCATGGGTCAAAGAGGAACATGAGTTCAGAAATGAGAAGTGGAACAACTTCACACAAAGACCCTAGCCAGGATTTCACAGCAGACATTAATCACTTAAAGTGAATTTAAGGATCATCAGATACCCATGCTGAATTGGAAAACCAAATTAATTTATACCTTATACCTCTATACCTTCCTGTTAGCCAGAAAAGTCATTATCTAGCATTTTCTTATGACAAAGACATTTTTGACAATTCAAATGGAATTATATCAGCTTTTAGAAAGGAGAAATTGGCCTGGGCATAGTGCTATTAATATGACCCAATCGAAACATTTCTAGATAATTTCTTTTCAATGATGTATGTGGAGAAGTAATACTTTAGGCAGAAAGAAGATGAAAAGTAAATATTTCTACAAAAAAGGTAATACATCGGTAAAATGATGTGCGTGTGTGTGTGTGTGTGTATGTATGTATTGACAGATACCATCTCCAGATTGTTTGTACAACTGTGTATATAATAGAAATTGGTGATGGTTCCCCTAGCTATCTTCCCCTAACGATACTGCATTTATAAACAAATTTCGAGTCACACCTAATTACTGCATTTCTCCACTTAACCAACTGAATTTCAAACTTTGCCTATAATGCTTGTGTACCTCATTGTGTAATTCTCTACTGGTTAATTAATAACTGCTAACAAGTATTTATTTATATACATCATATCCTGGACAGCCCAGGTAAACACTTTTCTCCTAAATATTCAAAAAGTGCTATGGGAGCTAAGCAGAAGCAGGAACTGCTTGAAAAAAGATTTTACAGAAAAGGTGGTATCTGAGATGGATCTTGAGGGAGGGACAGGATTTCAGGAGGAGGCATAACTAAGCATTGGTGAACTGTGAGAATTCCCCCATCTGAAGGGAGAAACACAGGGAGAAAGAGAGAAATGAAGAAAGGTGGTTGGGGCCACATTCTTTCAACAAATATTGAACACCTATCAAGTGCCCAGTACAGAACACTTACAGGTGAACAAAATATACAAAAGCTCCTGTTGTTATGGAGCTTACATCCTAGGTGGAGGATGGAGAAATAAACAAATAAACAAATAAACATACAACTTTTAGGGTGGGTGAGTGCTAAGAAGAAAAATAAAGCAAAGTAAGAAACTAAGGGGTGACAGAGGTGATGCTGGTTTGGACAGCCTAGGAATGTCTCTCTGATGAGATGTTTCAGCACAGACATGAGTAAAACAAAGTGAGCCATGTGGGTGTCTGATGCAAAAATGTTCAAGATAGAGGAGATAGCAAAGTAACAGTAGAAAATCGGACTTAGGCATCTGTTCTTAAGTGTTGAGCTGGGATTTACAAGATTAGCCTGTGTTTTACCAAGCTGACTCTGGTGATAGAGAATACAGAAAGCAGGGCAGGGTTCGCTGAAGTTAGGATTCTGGGATGCCAGAAACTTCTTTCTAAAACATAAATCTGACTATGTCACTCCTCTGATTAAAATCCTTCAGTAGCTCTGAACTGTCCATGTTCCTTAGCTTGGCACGCAAAATCCTTCATGATCTTTCTAGCTTCATCTACCCCTCTGGCTTCATTTATTCTAGTCAAAGCCATTTTTGTCTATTCTACCCCAGAGCTAAGAAATTACTTACAGTTACAACATGTGGTTTGGTGCTTTCATACAACCTCCTTGTTATGTTCCATCCGGTTCAAGTCCCCGCTCAAGTACATCACTTTCATGAAGTCCTCCCTGACCAACCTCACAACGGATTAGCAACTCTGCCCCATTTGACTTCTTATACAAATGCCTTATACAATGCTTCCATTAAGGAATATTCCATAAAAACAACTTCACATAAATAGAAAATGTGTATATAATCCAGTCCTGCACTCTTGGTAGCTTTCCAGTAATGATTATGAAACACTGGAGAGAAGAAAGTAACACAAACACTGAAACAAGGCAAGATGCTATGATATAGGGAAAACCAATAGTAACATAAAGGTATCCCTTCATGTGGTACTGCTGCCTATCTTGTGCTGGCTCTTTACAATATTCAACCTCACACTAGCTTCTGAGGCTTGCTTTTCATAATGCAAAATTGTCTACATTTCTAATGTATTACTACGTGTCTTATAAAGTATTTAATATGAGAGCAAATTTCCATTGTCAAGTAACCTAATTGCTTATGCTTGTTTGCCTAACACCCTTATTTCTACATAAGCTTGAATCATTTTTGTATCCTTAATGCCTAGCATAGTGCTTGACACAGAGTGGATTCTCAATTAATGTTTGCTGACCAAAAGTGCCAAGAAAAGAAATGATTACAACCTGACCAAAGGCAGTGACAGTGAGGTTAGGAAAGGACTGGCTTGAAGAGAGATTTAAGCCAGACTCAAATGTTCACTGAACTAAACTAACTTGGTATAGGAAGTAAGGAAGAGGAAACCATTGAGTGAGGAGAGGTTGCAAATGGTTGTGCGATTTGTAGCTTGGAAAAACAACTACATTTCCTAATGAGAGCTGTACCAGAAAAGGAAAAAGTGACTTGAGGATAGACCTCAGTAATACCAACACTTAGGTATAGGGCTATGGAAGAGGTGTAGACACAGAGGAGAAATGATAGACAGGAAAAGAACCAGGGTAGAATATTTTGGAGGTCATAGAAGAAAGTCAAATACACAGAGGAATTAAGGTCAGGGCTGAGAAGTACCCACTGAACTTAACAATTCAAATGTACTGGATTTGAAGCTTTTAAAATGCCAGATTGTTAAAGCTAACAAAGGTAATGCATTTGACCCACTTTTTCACTGATTTTGTGAGAAATGTACAGATTTTGTGAAAATATTTAATATCTATCCATACATCTTGAAGATATACAGAACAATTAAAAATAGAAAGTAATCTTACATTAACTACACTTGACTTGGATTATGCTAATATTTTTACTTTTGTATTGTCTTCGAATCAATACCAAAGGACACTGCTAACCATTATTTAAGGAAAAGGCTGTTTGAAATATAAATAAACATCCCTGTAAGATTGGATTTGGGAGCTCTAGAGTTCAAATATCTCCTGAAATAGACCGTATGATGTTGGTCAGGCAGAGGAGCAACTTATTATTTTTTGAAACCTTTACCTCAAAAATCTTGTCCCAATCTGTAACCAAAATTGTTATGAAATCAAGACTCTAGCTGACTGCATGCCACGCTTCTGTTTAGAAGCCCTGCAAGCCTTAACTGATGGCGGTAACAGACCCAACAGTATGCCCAATGCCAGTTTGAATGCTATCTTGAAAGTCTTTTAAGATCTCCATCAAAAATGTCTATAAGGTTCATCATTTGTAGCCAGTGTTTGAAGTAAAGCTGAAAAAATTAAACAAGTTTAATCATAAATATAACTGTTTTATATAATATTTGTTATAAAACCTCAAAATGACATGCAAAGATATGGTTTCAGTAATCCTATGAGATTAAAATGACATTTTTTAACAAGAGATTACCTCTTACAGTACTGAGTTTGCTCTATCGGATTTTTCCTCAGGGTGATTTAATCTACTCTTACTGCTTTGGTCTACTTACCCATAACTTGTTTATCTTTATTTCCAGTACCTGTACCTGACTGCCCTTCCATTCACATTCCCCAGGAGTTGGGCACCCACTTCTCAGCACTAACTATGGTGTTACTCTCCATCCAACAGCTAGGAAATCTGAAGTATTCCTCAATAAAATCCCCCTACCATACTACCTACACCCAATAAAGCCCAACTCTTAACCCCATTCATTCTTCATTTCCTTCCCCCAGCTTCAGTGCATCCATATTTATCTCTGAATATAAATTTCAAATATTTACAATCATAAACTACATACTTAATGTAATGGAGGGGACACATAACACAAATAGATCCCAACTTCACTATTAGGCTGAACACAGCTGGATATTTTATTTCCCTATATGAGTCAAAAACATCTACAAAAACTTCTGAGAATTCTGGCTGGAAGCCACTTTTAATGAGTCAGAAGTCGTCTGCCACCCTCCTGCTGCTGCCCTATAATTGTGATGAGTTCTTTCCTTTCCCTTTTGTTTGCTATACCTGAGGAGAGATGATGAAATATAAACAGCATAGTTTCTAGCACAAGACATTAGCAGGGAAAATCACGAAAATGAAATATGGCCTAGAAACCACTATAAGTTCCATAATCCTGAAAAACTCATTGTTTCCCTTTCCC